TCATTAAGATAATTTGATACCAGAAGAGTGATATGTTGCTCTAACAGATGCTTAAGCTCAAGTGGTTTTGGGATTGGGTAACAGATTGATGTTAAGTGCTATTGTGTTGGTTCTAACTCATAGGGTTTCTAAGGAACAGCTGGTGGGTTAGAACTGCTGACCTTGTGGTTCACAGTCCCAATGCTGTTCCACAGTGCCACACCATGCTGGAAAGGATTTAAGGTACCCAATAGTAAAACAGATTGCCATGGAGATACTTGGTAGATTTATGGGCATTAAAGGCAATTCTGGTGAGGGTTCACAAGGAAGTGAGGAGAGCCAAAAGAGAAAATCTCTATTGTCTTAGAGAACACATGTGGCACCAGCAACAGGATGTAACTAGAAATGTGAACCTTAAATACACTCTGGTGAGACTTTACAAGTTCACTATGAACATGTGACTGGACAATGGAAGAAGGGTAGTGCTTTCATGCAGTGGCAAAGAATTTGTCTGAATTATGCTCAAGTCTTTGGTGGGAGGTAGACCTTGTAAGCGATGTACATGGAAATTTGGCTGATGAGATTTGTAAGCAAGATTTTAAAGGGGCTGCGTGGTTTCTACTTGTTGCTTACAGTAAAATGGGAGAGTAAAAAGATAGACTTAAAGATGAACGGAAATGAAAACAAAAAGATTTGGAAAATTCTGTTGCACAACTAAAGAAACATGTGCTAGAATTTTTACCAAGGATGTGGTTACACAATCTTTTGTTGAAAAGTTTAAGACTGTGACTGATGGATCTAACCAATTACCATAGCAGAACACCCATCAGTTTAGCCTGAAGGGATCAGAGAGAAAATAAAAGGAAAGAACACTGTCTGCCTTTTGGAATTTTACAGGCAGGAAATTGATCAAAGGAGTTACATCTGTTGTCCTTCAAAAAAGGAAAAAGACCATCCCTGTAGCAGCTTGGAGATCAACGGAATTGCTGAAAAGTCCACGGGAATTGGGGTCTTCTTGGTTTGAATGGGTGGGGCCACATTCTCCTGTATATTACAGGGTAGGGCCACAGACTCCTTGATTTCAAAAATCCTGGCTTCTAGTTTCCTAAACTGAAAGAAAGTAAATTTATGTTTGTTATAGCCACCTTTAGGTATTTCTGTTATAGCAGCACTAGATAACTAACATAGGATTTTTTTTTCTAAGTGGCCAAGAAGATGCTGGAAAAGGAGGGGCAACCAAGAGGACAGAGGCATAAGTCATGTTGAAATAGATTGGAAAGATGTTCCCAGTGAGCTGAATTTAGGAACATTCTCAACTTCTGGGGACCTGGAAATATTTCCCCAGTGGATTTCAGATTGATTGTGATTGGTGATGGCTCTGTGCCTCCCATTCATCTTTTCAAATGGCAGTATTGATTTTTCTCCATTTTACCACTTAATGTTGGGTGTGTGCAGGGCAGATAATTCTTCTTTTAAGTCTGTAGGTCTCTGCATCTGCAGACTCATCTAGTTCTAATACAGATGAGATCTGAGCTCTGATCCTGACGCTGTGATTGGAGACCTTTGAGGATCTTGACAAGTAGCAAATCTCTTTCATGTAGACAGACGTGAATAATTTGAGTTAGAGGATGGCCTTTATAAGATTTGATCATAAAAATGGCCCTAATTCTCCACTCTTCCCCTTGCCTATTTCCTTTGACTTTGATACTCCTCATACCAAGATGTTGTTGTTGTTAAGTGCCTTGATGTTGTGTTAAGTGCTGGTTCAGACTCACAGTGACCCTGTATAGGGTTTCTGAGGAGCGACTGGTGGGCTTGAATCCCTGACTTTGTGATTAATAATACAGGGCTTATCCGAAAGCATCACACCAAGTCTTCCCTAACAAGATAGGGAGTCTATTTTGCAACCCTTTGAATCTGGCTATTCTTATGATTTGCTTTGACCAACAGACCAAGGTGGAAGTACTGATTCCTAGGATTTTCCAGAGAAACCCCACACACAAGTTCCTGTGTGGTGCTAACAATTAAGCTGACTAGTTAACTATAAAGTTGGTGGCTTGAATCTTCCTAGAAGCGTACACATGGGGTTGCTATGAGTCAGAATTTACCCCACAGCAACTAACAACAATGGTAATTTTATGTTTAAGATTTTGTGGAACTGCTAAACTGTCAAGCTTATTCACTTTTTGAAGGAATATTTACTAAGTAGCAATAAGGCATCAAGTACTGTCCAAGTCCTGCAGATAAGGGGAAAACATCTAGAACCCACTGTTTAAGGAGTTCCCAGTCTGAAGGGAAAGAGGAGCATCAGCAAGCGATTGCAATCACCCAGATACATTTGGTGAGTATAGTGTGTATTCTATCGGACACAGAGCAAAGACGCATAAAAGCTTGCCTAGAGGATTAAGGGAGGAAAAGCATTTTGCGCATGCCCAACGTTGCTCCTTCGTGGGGGCCGGGCTGGGAAGGTTACGTCACCTCCCAGCGTCGGCCGATGACTACAGAGTCGGGCGCCGAGAGAAAAGGTGGCTGGAGAATGCACGTGGACGGCGGCGCTCCAGGTGTGCACATGGCAAATTCTGCAGGGCTGTCGTTATGCAGGCAGATGCTGGTGGTGCGGGGCGGCTGCCGGTTTCTGGCCACCACCATTGCAAATAGGTGAGGGATATGGGGGACTGGAGCTGTGAGCCCGAACTGCGGACGCGGTCGAGGGCTGGCGACCCTGTACCTCTTTTTACCATTGGTTACCCTGAGGAACCCCAGACTCTCAACTGTCACTTTGGCCCCTCCTCATGACCGCCTTGAGGGGCCTGCCTTCTTCGCGCTCCCTCCCAGGACCCGCCTCCGGTCCTTGCGCATCCTCGTGGCTTGGCCAGGGCCTTACCCGCGGACGGCTTTAAGCGTTCCCTCGGATCTTACTTCCGGACTGGGTGGTGGCTGCGCGCGGACTGCGCGGGGCCTGGTCACGTGTGTTTGGGCTGGGTCTGTGTGGGTATCCGGAATGTTGGCTGGACCCGCCTGAGGGTTTGGAGGCACACTGCGAATACTTTCCAGTCTCACTGGCGCTGAACGCATCCTATCTTCTTGTGATGTGCCTTCTCCATCTTTATTTTTTCCACCCGCATCCACCGAATTCGTTCTAATTTTTCCTCTTCGGTGCACCAAGAGCCAATAACGTGCCTCCCTTCCCCTCTTGTAGTTTTCCACAAGGTTATGTTAGGTAATTTCATTCTCCTTTATGTACATGCAGTGCTTAGATATCGGCCAGAGTTGTAAAAACAGTAAATGTTGACCGAATGGTCTTGATCCATGAGACTGGGAGTATTAATAGTGTTCAGTTTTGTCTTCTTGTTTCATTTCCCAGAGGAGGTTTGATTCTCTCATACTCAAAATACACACCGTCTATTTGTGAGAACCAAGGAGCTCTGGTAGCGTAGTGGTTACGAATCGGGCTGAGACCCGCAAGGTCAGCAGTTCGAAACTACCAGCTGCTCCGAAGGAGAAAGATGAGGCTTTCTGCTCCCGTAAAGATTTACAGCCTCGGAAACCCTGTTCAGGGTCGCTATGGGTCGAAACCGACTCGACGGCACTTAACAACAACATTTGTGAGAACCAAAATGAACTCTCCTATGCTTTTGCTTGACGTTTGACGTCAGGAATTCTATTTGAAGTTCATTTTGGTTCTCACAAATATTTACTCACAAAGCTGTCATGTATGTATACACTGTATGTTTTAGAGGTACAGTGGTGTGGCCCTGTAGAATTGGCACTGGGCTAAGAACTACAAGGTCGGCAGTTCCTGTCAGTATGTGTGGGTTGCCTTTCAGTATCAGGCACTGGAGAGAGGGTGGGCTGGGAGTGTGAAAGGAGGGGTGATCCAGCTATGTGTAAATTGAAGAGTGCTTTCTAATCTGGAAGATGGGTGATTCTTATAAGTGGGACCCACGGGAGCTTTTTCAGATAGGTGAGGGTTCTATAACATATGTTTTAAAAATAAGCAATGGCAGTTTTAAATCTGGGTACAAAAATTTGGAAACTCAGCAATATTACAATACAAATTTTTTATTTTTTTTAACATAATCATTACAGTGACTTTCTAGTACTTGGAAGAACAGTGTTTAACTTTCTTTTGAGTGGCTTCAAAAACTTTGTGGAAAACTTCTATTAACTTTTAAATTCCATTTTTTCTTGAACTTTTTGAACCCCCCTGGAAGTTTAACTAACTGATGTTTTCTTTGGCAGTACCATGTTAGTTGTCTATGGCAAATCTAATCAGGAGGTGAAGCAATGTAGTTTCCTTAACTTCTCCCTGAATCTTCCTTCTTGGATATAATTTAATGAGTATGCAGGGAGTTTTTTGTTTTTTTGTTTTTTGTCTCGGTGAAAAGGAAGTCAGCATTTTTAATAACATAAAACCTCTTTTAAAGTCCTTTTCATTTCTTTTTAGTGATGATGACAGCCTCTTCATGTATGACTGCAGTACTGCAGAGAAGAAGCCACAGGAAACTAAAGGGTGAGATGACTTGAAAGCACCGAAGGGCCTGATTCATGGTTTGAATAATAGGATCCTGCGAGCAGGAGATGGACTTGTTCTGACTGCTAAATTCTTAATTTTTGTTACCACCACTGGCTCTGTGGCTTAGGTGTTGGGCTGCTAACAACAAGATCAGCAGTGATCCTGATGAGATTGTCTGGTCCTGTGAAGATTTACAGTCTCAGGAACCCTGTATAGGGTTGCTGTGAGTCAGAATTGATACTATGGTAGTTTTTTTCTTTCTTTTTTCTTTTTTTCCTGTGTGAATAAGCATCCCTAGCTTCACAACGATTAATTGCTCAGTTGTAAATAGAAATGTTGGCTGTTTGTACTTACCCAGTGGCTCCCTAGAAGAAAGATCTGGCAAACCAGCTTCTGTAAAGATTACAGCCAAGAAAACCTTATATGCGCATAAGAACATCCAAACTTGTCGATAGTACCCATTTGACCTAGCCTTGGTGGCTTGATAATCAGAACTCGACTAGAGCAAGATAAAAAAAAAAACAGTTTTTGTAAAGGAAAGGATGATAAATTGCTATAATTTGATGAACTTGATCTATACTCATGGAGGTAGTAGCTCAAAATACCAACAGAGAGGGAAGGAGTCTTCACATCAAGTATCAATGCTATCCCCTCTGTATACAGGGAAGATAGGGACGGGCAACTTAGATGTTGGCTACCTAAAATGGTGGTGGTGGTGATGTGCCTTGGAGTTGGTTCTGACTCATAGCAACCCTGTAAGTAGTGTTTCTGAGGCTGTAAATCTTTATGGGAACAGAAAGCCTCATTTTTCTCCTTTGGAACAGCTGATAGTTTCAAACTGCTGACCTTGAGGTTTACAGCCGGATTCGGGACCACTATACTACCAGAGCTCCTAAAATGAGGGGACAATAAAGGCACTAGGTGACTGACTTACAAGTGTGTGGGGGAAGATAGAGTCCCCACTGAATAGTTTTTCATCTTGTCTAGATGGGTCTGGTGAAAAGAGATGGGGATAAGATTCTTATGATTCAATAGTAATTGTTATCATAACTAATTGTGACTGTCAGAGTTGTAAAGGTAGAAGTTTTGTAACAAAAATAGGGGAGTAATTAATCCCTAGGACCATTAAGGGAGAAGATCACAAGTGGAATGCGAGACCTTATCCAGAGAAGCAGCAACACCAGAGATGGAGGCAGAGATGGGGACATGGAGAGAGAGAGCAGCTGAGGACTCTGAGAGCTGGTGGCTAGGAGGCAGGCTTGCAGAATGTGCACTTTGGTGGTTTAAATTATTATGTATGCCTTAGTGTTTGAAAAAAAAAAAAGCTAAAATGAACAGAGAGAAACACTGTTAACTGATGGTACATGGAAGGGAGGGATTATGATCATTGTAATGAAACAAAGTATATGATTTGTTGAATGTGAGACTGATGATTGCCCTGTCACATGGGGTTACCATAAGTCAGAATTAGTGGCAACTAATAACAACTGTAACACTGCATGGATAAAATAATTATCACCTTAGGAAAGAGTCTTGGACTGTACTTTCAAGTTAGGCATCGAGAATATTGGTACTTTTCTAAATACTTGGCTTAGTTTTGATCAAAGTAATTAACTTACTTTATTGGCTCATTGAAATAATAGTATGCATTTAAAATGCACAGAAGGCAGAATTACCTAGGGGAACCATAACAGCTGAGTGTGTGAGTGACTTACAAGATGGCCAAACTTCGTTTCTCATACTTCAGACATACTGTCAGGAGGGAGCAGTCACTGGAGAAGGAAATCATGTTTGGTAAGGTGGAGGGTTAGAGAAAAAGAGGAAGACCCCCAGCAAGATGAATTGGCCGAGTGGCAGCATCGATGGACTCAAGAGTGGCAACAAGAGTGAGGTTGGCCCAGGATCACGCAGTGATTCGTTGTGCTGTGCATAAGGTCGCTATGGGTTGGTACTGACTCGATGGCACCTAACAACAACAATATATATATGTATTATGTAAGTGTAATATATTTATCCTCATGTACTGGCTGGAATTCCTAGGTGTTAGAAATGGTTAATGTATTGGACTGCTAACCAGAAGGTTGGTGGTTGGACCTTCCCAGAGGTGACTTGGAACAAAGGCTTGACTATCCACTTCTGAAAAATCAGGCATTGAGAACCATATGGAGCGCAGTTCTACTCGGACACACATGGTGCTGCCATTCATTGGAATCAACCCACCAACAACTGTTTTTTTTTATATTCTGGCTAGATGAACCTCATTAGAGAATGTCCTACCTCTGCTAGTCTTAAAAGCTAACAGGACTCACCATGAGGAATGCAGCTTCATTTACTTATTGTTGTCAAGTCATTTCCAACTCATAGCAACCTTGTATAGGGGTTCCAAGGAGCGGCTTATAGGTTTGAGCCACCTACCTTGTGGTTAGCAGTCCAGTGCTTATTCTGCAGTGCCACACCAGGAGTCTACCTACAGAAGGTGTAACTGTTCTCTTCTCTTCCTTAGGGAGGACGGGCAGCCTGTGGAGAAGGGGAGCGACACCATTCTGGCTTCCACCTTCTCTGAGTCTGGCAGTTATTTTGCTTTGACTGATGACAGTAAGCGTCTGATTCTTTTCCGTACAAACCCATGGCAATGTCTGAGTGTCAGGTATGAAATGCTAATGCTGAATAATTAAGATGTCATATGCAGAACTTAGATTTGCATGTCAATAATGGCAACAGTGACAGTAATAATAAGCCACGAACGTTGTTAAGTGCTATTGAGTCCATCCCGACACTGTATAGAGTTTCTGAGGAGGAGCAGCTGGTGAGTTTGAACCATCAACTTTGTGGTTCAAGCTGACCTTGAGGTCCAGTGCATTATCCCACAGCACTTTACCAGGGCTCCTGTTGTTATGTGCTGTGGAGTTGGTTCCGACTCATAGCAACCCTGTACAGGGTTTCCGAGGCTGTAAATCTTTACGGGAGCAGAAAGCCTCACCTTTCTCCCGCAGAACAGCTGGTAGTTTCGAACTGCTGACCTTGCCGTTCGCAGTCTGATTTGTAACCACTACACTACCAGAGCTCCTTAACAGGGCTCCTAGATCACCATTTATGTGCCAGGCACTGTTTTTAGCACTTTGCAAGTGTTAATTAACTTTATTCTCAAGATAACCTTGTGAGGTAGATAGAGGGGTACTGTCCCTCCCACCTGCGCTGATGAGGAGGGAGGAGGCTGACCTCGGATCAGTCGGCATGGAAGGGTGGCACTGGGACTTGAAATTAGTTACTGGTGTTGTGGGATTGCTGCTTCTGAGTCCCATATGGTGCACATCTGTCCTTGTAGCAGAAATGAAGACCTTCAGCACACACCATGGGTTTTCTATAACTTAGGGCATCTGTGTATAACTAGGTGGTTTTTGTGCATGTGTTTCTAAGCATCTGAGGAATGGGAGGGAGCTCAGTTTTGATGAAGAGTAGGTCAGTTGTTTAGGCAAGAACTTAAAGAGCATCCAGCCTAGCTGTTTTCCTTTTAACCAGTCCCAGTCCTGTACTTGTTCTTTTTACCTAATTTAGTCCTCTTGTGGAATCCATCTCCATCACGTTCTCTGAGGTAGGAAGCACTACAGTTTGGTGACTCTCCATTTCCCAAGGTGCCTCCCTGTCTCACTGTGTCCATTTTCTCAGGAGAGGTGCAGGGGTGAAGCATGCTAACAGTGCGGGGCAAATCTAAGCTTTTGTTGGCTTCAAAGGTCTCCTAATGTGTCTCCTCTCAATCCCCAAAAGGAATCATGGTCAGAATTATTTTGATTATCCTGTGACACTGATGGAGGAGTAGCTTGGAGCAGAATGCTCCCATTCATCCTCTTAGTGTCTTCCTGAAACTGCAGCATTGAACTGTCTTTTGGTGTTCAGAGAGAAACTTGTATAGGTTATGATATTTGAACTGCTACAGTTAAGGTTTCTTTCTTTGTAGCTAGCTCACACCTGTGTTGGGGTTAACAGAAATTTGTTGATTTCTGTTTCATCTTACTTTTTAAGAAAGGACTAAGCAGCCAAATTCCAGGTTCTACCTATTCTACCCCTATTCTACCCCTTAGTCTAGTCAGATTAAAAGTAAACTCAAAGAACATTGCTTTGTTTTTATTATATACCATTTAAAAAAATATATCTGGTAGGTAATAGATACACTTGTTCAAAACAAAAGGCAAATAAATCTCCCTCCACCCCCCACCTTCCAATTCTGTTTGCACAGCTTTCTACAATTCTCTTTCTATAGCTTGCTAGTATAAAAATGACTTTTCAATACATGTTGTCATGAACCCAAAGGATGATTGATAATAAATTGCTTCTTCCAGCTTGGTTCTCTTGAAAGGCTATTAAGCAGTATCTTCTTGTGAAAACATTAGCAAATCAGTGAAAATGTAGATAATGCTAAGTGTCTTGTTGTTAGGTACTATATAGTCGGCACCAACCCTTAGCGACCTTATGCACAGCAGAACGAAACACTGCCCGATCATGGGCCAACCTCAGTACTGTTGCCACACATGAGTCCATCGATGCTGCCACATGGCCATTCCATCTTGTTGGGGGTCTTCCTCTTTTTCTCTGATCCTCCACCTTAGCAAATATGATGTCCTTCTCCAGCGATTGGTCCCACCTGACACTATGCCCAAAATATGAAAGACGAAGTTTGGCCATCTTGGCCTCCAAGGAGCACTCTGACTGCACTTCTTCCAAAATGGATCTATTGGTTCTTTTGGCAGCC